AGGATGCAATTACAAGAATAAACGAGCTTATTGTTTTCTTTCAAAAGTTTAGAGAAGATGGTTTTGAAAACATGATGAAAGAAGCCAATGAACTTGCTAATGATGTTGGTATCGATCCGACATTTCCGATAAAAAGAGTGGTTCGTAGAAAGAAGCATTTTGATGAGGATGTGGAAGCGAATGTTGAAGGTAGTCAATCACCGGAGGATAATTTTAAAGTTTCCTATTTCCTCCATATTATTGATCAAGCTCTTACATCACTCAAAGATCGTTTTGAACAATTCGAGCTCTATGAATAAATCTTTGGTTTTTTGTTTAATGCAAAGTTCATGAGTATTGGTGAAGAAAAATTAATGGAACATTGCATTAAATTACAAAGATACTTGGAACACAACCAACAATGTGATATACATGGGAAAGATTTATTCAATGACCTACGAGCTTTGCAAACAATGTTGCCAAAGGAAGTGACTAAATCAATAGACATCCTTGACTTCATAAAATCTTATTGTGATGATGGTGGCTTTCAATGTGCATGGGTTGCTTATCGGATTTTGTTAACTATCCCAGTTACGATTGCCTCGGTAGAGAGAAGTTTTTCCAAGTTGAAATTAATAAAAAGTTATCTTCGCACTACCATGTCACAGGAACGATTGAATGGATTGGCAATGATATCAATTGAAAATGAATACTTAGAGAAACTTGAGTATGATGACTTAATTGAAGAATTCGCTTCAAAAAATTCAAGGAGAAGTATTTTTCTTTGATGGGAATTGTAGAACAAATGTAATATCTTTTTATATGAATATTGATTTTGCATGAGAATATTATCAGTTTGAGCCCAATATAGAACGCTAAATTATATTATATGTATTCATTTTTATCGTTATTGTTCGTACCAAATTTTTAATATAAGGGGCAACCAAAATTGGATTGGGCTAGGGCAACCCAAAGCTCGGGGCCGGCCCTGCTCCTAAAGAAATGTTAAAAGTGGACATTGGGAAGGCTTATGACACAGTTGATTAAATTTTAAGGCGCATGTTTTTTTATTTTATTTTCCTGGAGATGTATATTCAGAAGTTGCTTAGTGAGGGGTCTTAGATATTGGACAGTGGTGTACCTATTGCCTAAGAATTGAAGATTCTTAAAAGAATATTGATCAACTCTGCTATAATTTTGCGTGGGCGAAAAGAGAGGGTGAGCACAAAGCTCATTTGGTGTCATGGAAGGTCATGTGTGTGCTAAAGTCTCAAGGATGATTAGGCCTCTTGCATACAGGTAATTTAAATTAAGGTGTCAATGCTGAAAATTTTTGTGGGCCATTCACTTGAAATTAGTCTCGAATGTTCCTACTAGGTTCCTCAATTCTTAACTTAGTTTCAAATTAATCCCTCCAACCAAGTTTCAAATTAATCCCTCCAACCAAGAGTAGAAGTAGCAACTGGAGGGATTACAAGTAATATCTATTGTTGTGGACTATTAGGTCCTCCAATTCCCATAAATTTTGTTTTTTCGAATTTAATCTACCCAATCGCTATTTATATTCTTGAACGGAGGGACTGATCTAAAAATAAGTCAAAATTTACAGGACCTAATAGCAATTTCCATGATTTTAGGGACCAATTTTAAAATATGAAAGATTTAAGGGACCAATGTGGGGGGGAAAATCCTACTATTGAAGGAGGGGCTAGGGCCTTGTTTGGCCCTTACTGGCTTCACCCCTGACTGGGTATGTGCTAGGTGGTCTATTGAGCAGGATGTTGTTCACAATTTGCAGGGTTGGCAGGTTGGAAAGAATCCATGTTTGAGTTTGGCATATAGGGGTTTTTTCTAATTTGGTTAGTGAAACGTTTCGGTTACCCAAAAACAAAACAAAAAAAAACGTACAATGCAATTATCACTATTCTTTCAGAAAAAATTAAAAGGTTATCATCAATATTAAAAACAAGGGAAAAATGTGTCCATGCCCCAAAAACAGAAACTTCATGTGCTGCAGCCCCTTCTAGTTTCCCCTATGTGGTTCAGCCCCTTGAAGTATGACATTTTGTGCTGCAGCCCCTTTTTAACAATTATTACATGACAACTAAGCTAAAATCCCCAAAATAACCTTATCCCCTCTCCTCAATCCTTCAAACCTAGTTCTCTCTCTCTCTCTCTCTCTCTCTCTCTCTCTCCCTCCCTCCGCCCGACCTCGTCGCGGTAGCTCGTCGTCGCTCCCCGTCTCGCCCTCGACTACGCCGGAGTTCGCCGCTGTGCCTGCCACTTTTGAACCCTATAGTATGGTAGGCCGGAGGAGGATGACCAAGAGAAAAGAGTGCATGATGCCCAAAAAAAGTGAAAATGAAGGGCCTGCAGGCACAAGGTCACTCTTTTTTTTTGGAATTTGATGAGAAGCCGCTGCTTGTTAAGGAGATTGTTAGTCAAGATGGTTAAAATTAGAACTAACGTGGTATAAAATAGAACTAACTTGGTATAAAATAGAACTAACATTGTATAAATTAGAACTAACTTGGTATAAATTAGAACTAACGTGGTTAAAATTAGAACTAATTTGTTATAAATTAGAACTACCTTGTTATAAATTAGAACTAATATGGTTAAAATTAGAACTAACGTGGTATAAAATAAAACTAACTTGATATAAATTAGAACTAACACGGTATAAAATAGAACTAACATGATATAAATTAGAACTAATTTGGTATAAATTAGAACTAACGTGGTATAAAATAGAACTAACGTGGTATAAATTAGAACTAACGCAGTGTAAAATAGAACTAACGTGATATAAATTAGAACTAATTTGGTATAAATTAGAACTAACATGGTATAGAATAGAACTAACATTGTGCAGTTTAGAACTAACACGCTACAGAATAGAACTAACACTGTGCAGATTAGAACTAACAGTGTAGACAGAATAGAACTAACATTGTGCAGATTAGAACTAACACTGTAGACAGAATAGAACTAATATTGTAGACAGAATAAAACTAACATTGTGCAGATTAGAACTAACACTGTAGACATAATAGAACTAACACTGTAGACAGAATGTTAGTTTTTTTTATACCATGTTAGTTCTAATTTTAACCATATTAGTTCGAGGATATCTCGATACGACAAAGTGGTGAACATACCGAACAGTATGACTGTCTTAGATGAGCTTCTTCCTATTTCGGTTGAGATGGCAAAGAGAAACCTCAAGGGAATTAATCTGGAATTTCACCAATCCTGTTGTTGTTAGCGACAATGAGATTAATTCCCTTGAGGTATCTCTTTGCCATCTTAACCGAAATAGGAAGAAGCTCATCTAAGACAGTCATACTGTTCGGTATGTTCACCACTTTGTCGTATCGAGATATCCTCGTGATGAAGTTTCGTGGATTGCTAAGGTCAGAAGGGATTGGCATTCGAACTCTCAGGGTACCTACATTGTCATAGTTTTTCAGACGCTCTCTACGTGAAAGTAGTGATGAGTATAAAATGATAATCATCAATTCGATCTCACCACAAAATTCAAAGTTTTACTACAACGAAGGGCCTTACAGACAGAATAGAATAACATTGTGCAGATTAGAACTAAATGGTTAAAATTAGAACTAACTGTATAAAAAAAAACTAACATTCTGGTCTACAGTGTTAGTTCTATTAGTCTACAGTGTTAGTTCTAATCTGCACAATGTTAGTTCTATTCTGTCTATAATGTTAGTTCTATTCTGTCTACAGTGTTAGTTCTAATCTGCACAATGTTAGTTCTATTTCGTCTACACTGTTAGTTCTAATCTGCACAGTGTTAGTTCTATTCTGTAGCGTGTTAGTTCTAACTGCACAATGTTTAGTTCTATTCTATACATGTTAGTTCTAATTTATACAAATTAGTTCTAATTTATATCAGTTAGTTCTATTTTACACTGCGTTAGTTCTAATTTATACACGTTAGTTCTATTTTATACACGTTAGTTCTAATTTATACCAAAGTTAGTTCTAATTTATTACCAGTTTAGTTTCTATTTTATACCGTGTTAGTTCTAATTTATATCAAGTTAGTTTTATTTTATACCACGTTAGTTCTAATTTTAACCATATTAGTCTAATTTATAACAAGGTAGTTCTAATTTATAACAAATTAGTTCTAATTTTAACCACGTTAGTTCTAATTTATACCAAAGTTAGTTCTAATTTATACAATGTTAGTTCTATTTTATACCAAGTTAGTTCTATTTTATACCACGTTAGTTCTAATTTTACCATGCTTGACTAACAATCTCCTTAACAAGCAGTGGCTTCTCATCAAATTCCAAAAAAAAAGAGTGACCTTGTGCCTGCAGCCCCTTCATTTTCACTTTTCTTGGGCATCATGCACTCTTTTCTCTTGGTCATCCTCCTCCGGCCTACCATACTATAGGGTTCAAAAGTAGCAGCACAGCGGCGAACTCCGGCGTAGTCGAGGGCGAGACGGGGAGCGACGACGAGCTACCGCGATGAGGTCGGGCGGAGAGGAGGAGGGGAGGCGGCGACGAACTCGGGGGAGGCTTGGGAGCCTGGGCGGAGGTGGCGACGGCGAGGAGGGTGAGGGCCAGAGCGATGAGCTTGAGAAAGCCCTTGTTTTTAAAGAGAGAGAGGAGAGAGAGAGAGAGAGAGAGAGAGAGAGAGAGAGAGAGAGAGAACTGGGTTTGAAGGATTGAGGAGAGGGGATAAGGTTATTTTGGGGATTTTAGCTTAGTTAGAATGTAATAATTGTTAAAAATGGACTGTAGCACAAAATGTCACACTTCAAGGGGCTGAACCACATGAGAGAAACTAGAAGGGGCTGCAGCACATGAAGTTTCTATTTTAGGGTCTGGACACATTTTTCCCTAAAAACAAAAGAAAAAAAAGATTTAGTTCGATCTCTACGCCAACGACTGAAATGATAAGATACGGACTGGACTTCAAATTATATATCAAGACTTCGACGTCTTCGGACCGGACCGCAGCATCTCCACGCGCCCCGTGCTCACGTCACGTGCCACCCCGCATATATCTCCAAAATGGCACGACAACGATTTATTTACAACTCCTTTCCCTAGCTTTTAGAGAACAAAAGAAAAAAAAAAGGAAAAATAAGAAAAAATAAGGATAAAGAAAAAAAAAAGAGCAAAACAAACACATTCGATATCGCTCTGTCTTCTCTTGTTGTTGATGTCTGCTGCATGACGAGCGCTTGGCAGCTCTCGTACCTATGGAACTCCCGCGCCGGCCGGAGCTCCGACGACCCGCCGGATCCCGCCCTCGATTGTGATCTCCGGCGGCCCCGCCACCGTCACCGCCGCCGCAGCCGAGACGATCCCGATCCCAGCCACAACCCCTTGCCTCGTTCTCAGCCTGCTCACAGGAGTTTTTGCCATCGTGCTGCTTCTCAGATTGTAAGCAGATCTAAGCCTTGTAATTTTTGAATTAGGTTGGGGTTTAAATGAGAAATGAAGAACTGGGTATTTTTTGTTGGGGGTTTTTTAGTAGGAAAATGGTGGGTGCATGTTGAGAATTTGTCAGATTTGAGTTAGAAATCCAAATTTGTTGAAGTTTTAGGCAGCTGTGTGAACCTTAGAATTGGTAGGTTGAGTGGTGAACTTGAAGCTGAAAGAGGGATCATTTTGTATTTATGTGAAACCACTGAAAGAGAAAGCCATGATTCTCTTTATATCGGAGGAGAAGGAACTTGGTGCGTGTATGGTCTAGGCCCATTATTGAAGTTAGAATTGAGGTTTAAGAATTACTGAATTAGGTTTATTACTAACAGGACCCTTCATTTTTAAATCTTGCATAGTGGGTTACTCGAACAGACACCAACCGTAATCCTGTCACTCGGACATTCTAGATGTAATGAGAAAGGGAGATAGCAAATGTCGACAATGTCTTTGAGGAAAGGACAGAAAGAGGAGTTGCATTACTTCCATAAGCATCTGAGTCTCATATTCTTAAGTATATACTAATATATTGAGATAGGTAATATCATAGCACTAAATAGAGCCTACTGCTCCAAAGCCTATGACCAATTATACATGCTTATAAATATGTGTATGTATGTATATACGTCTGTCCCCGTTTCCTCAAATTTCAAGTTGTATCAAACAATTTGGGAAACCTGGACATTCTACACCTGCGCCTACATAATGGTGCTTGTTAGCCATAGGCGATGGTAAAGAGTTGTTGGCTGTTATGGTTAAATAGGAAAAGGATCAAGCTTTGTGTTTACAGCAACATGCATCATTAGTTCTTTACACCTTTTTGGTTTAAAACTATTCTTTTTTGTCGAGGGACTGAAAGTATACATGACCTCTGGCTGATTCAAAAGTGTCGTTGTTTTCCCTTTCAACCTTTTGGAGTTTATTGTGGTTTTGGAAAAAAAAATCCAATGTGTCAAATTTTAACTTTAGTTTGTGTAGGCATGCATGTCTTGTCTTATGAATTATTGGAGATGGGTGATTAAGATTGTGTTTCTATCAATGGTAAATAAGATGCTTGGAGGAGAACGATATATGTTGGGTTTCCATGCTAATCACTATGAATTAGCATACAAAAAGAAAAAAAAACCAAGAGATTAACATATTTATTTATGTCTGGAGGTTGTAGATTTGTCAGAGATGAGTTGAGGGAGTCACCGTCGGCAAAGACCAAGTGACAATTTGAAGAGAAGCTGTTTTTTTTTTTTGTGGCTGGAGAGAGTATGAATCAGGGGGTTATTACGAGAAATTAAGATATGGTTTGGGTTTAAGCTAATTGGTGGGCTGCCCAGAGCAAGGCACCCACACTTGCCTAGGTGGGGACACCTATGTTAACCCAAGGTGGGTTACACACTGCGCCAAACCGAGGCAGCCCCAGCTATTTAGAGTGCTGGTTTTTGTAAAACCTAGCATATCATGTGTATTCACCCTCAAGGTAGAGTTGGAGCTACGAGAAGGCACTTGTATACTAATTTGGGAGGTTACTTGGTAGCATTAGAAAAGAACACCATACTAGATTGCTATAGGTTCGTCGACGAGTGTGGAATTTGTTTTGAAAGGACTTATCTTAAATACGGTAAAGTCTCCAAATATGGGGCTTATCTTTAGGCTTGTTACTTTTTAACTGATTAGGAAAACTTTTGTTGGTCTTAACATAGAAAAATTAAATTTTTTTTTGAATGGTTGACTACATTCTTATGGAAATTGAAATGCTTCAAACACGTTTTTCGATGATTCAGCGTCTTTTGATTTATTACCATAGCTTTTGTTCTTCCTACATATGATGACTTCACAGCACATGGATAACCTTTAAAAGAACTAGTTCAACTCTCAAGATAAGTACAAGGAGAATGTTCAGGATGAGCATAAGTAACTATTAGTTAAATCTGTTATATGTGGGAAGAAAAGGCTGAATCTTTGGCTTCTTGGGATGTCTTATTCAGTATATGTTCCTTTGCACTTCTTGTTTACATGTTATCTTAGATTGAAATATGTAGTTTAGAATTAAATCTTTTTTATGTTATGCACATAGCATGCTATGAACATACATACATAAGCTGGAGTTTATTTTCGAGGAGAGTGGAAAACAAAGCATTAGTCATGTTCCTTGTGTAATTATCTAAAATATAACAAGTAAAAAACATTTGATATTTATTTTTGAGTGATTGATGAAAAGTGGAGGATTCACTAGTCCATCTATCCTCTTAGATATTCACTAGCTAGTCTCCTACTTGCACTATTTTCAATCTCCTTGCCTGTTTTGGTATGATGGAGCTCAAATTGCATCAGTAGTCTATTAATTTATCTTATATTGTCCTACCTGTTAGTTTAGTCTGATGATAAATAAACTATTACAATATTCGGTTTATTTGGCTGATTTATCATATATCCTGCTCGCTGAAAGAGTGAGATTTTATTTTTCTGATATTGCCTAATTTTAGAGAGAGTTTGCATTGTGTAATATCCCTTCTTCAGTTAGCTAGAGGACTGTTGACTGTTTCATGCTTTTGTGACAATGGGTTGTGGAAACCAGGTAGAATATTTGTCAACTGTGTGCATGAGAAAAAATTGGCATAATTAGTTCGTGAATGGTTATTTGGTTCTTTGATTTGGCACAAGGTGATTATTCACAGAATAGCACCACAACTGTTTAAAGCACTAACTCTCTGGGACCATAAACCCGTATGGTTTTCATGGACGTGCAACTTCTCCGATTGTAGATCAATCATGTTTAGGTAGCTACTCACCGAAAAGCTTGAATTGATGATTTCTGGTCCAAACATATATTACATACTAATGTTCCACATAGCACGCCACTTTACACATGCAAGCGGGCACATCAGGGAAGTAGATGTAGTTTGTGGCTATTGACTCAAGGACATTTACTCCTGAAGCTATACCATGTGGCTTTGCATATAACAGAAGAAGAACAAGAGCAGGATCATATAGCAGAAAACAATGCACCCCTTCTCCATAGATGTGTCACTATTCTAATCTAAGGTTCTTATTTGATTGTGTTCTTCACATCTGGTATTAGGGGCAGAAAGCATTTTCATGTGGAAGGAAGAAATATCAACTGTAGTGATTGTTTATTTAGTTTATGTGATGGGTGTTTGCCCTCCCTGTCTCCTTCTCCTCTGAGAAGGTGGGTGATGTCGTTGGGAAATTACTTTATATGAACTACACTACGCATCTAATATTGTCACTGTGTACCAAGTATTACTTACTGGTTCAAATGTGCCACAATACTTAATTGAAACTATAAATATGATCTTCTAACTAGTTTCTCTCATGTTAGGAGCATGAATCAGTTTGGTCGGATCAGAGAAGCACAGGTGATCCACAGACCAGAAGTGGAAACACCGGTGAAGTTCCAGTTGGTGTGTCAGGTAGGTTCATAATCAGAAACAACCAACTTCCTGATGCTGTAGTACAAGCTCGAGAGCGACTTGTTGAGAGGTTGAGAGGTGTTTATCTCGCAGGAACCAGGTTCTCTACCAATCTGTAGTATCATTATGTCATTATTTTTCATATTCTTACAGGACTAATTGCAGATAGACCCCTGACTGTTGCCAAATTGCGGATAGACCCTTCATACTTCTATCATTGCAGATAGAGCCCTTGTATTCTCAATCTATTATTTCGGGCTAATCTTGGGCTTCATGGACTGAAACATATGCGCTTCATAAACTGATTACTTACTACAAACTTGCATAATGACCATTACATACAACTAGTTTAAATGGCAAAACTGAATAGACAATCTAGGAGGCTATTTGCAACAAATCTAGGAGGCTATTTGCAACAATGGAAGTACAGGAAATTTGGCAGTAGCACAGAGGGTCTATCTGCAATTTGGCGGTAGTACATGGGGTCTATTTGCAAACGACCCTATTTTTTGAGCCGAGTCATCTATTATGTTCTATTACATGGTAAACTAGTTCGCAGCATTGACAAAACTATTGGTCTCAACTCAGGGACTCAATCTCAGGTTCAGTGATTTTTGACCCAAGCAATAGTGTTTCTGTAGATAGGGAAGATGAAACTCCCCATGAAAACAGAAATAACCTGTACGAAGTTTGTTGGCAAGCTCTATCTACTCTGCACCTCGAAATTTTCACAAACCCAGAAGCAACCGGTAAAATCAGATCATCACAAGAGTGCTCCATATGTTTGGATAGTTTCAATGAAGGTGACACGCTAATCCGTCTGCATTGTGGCCATCGGTTTCATCCCATTTGCTTACAACCATGGGTTCGAACGTGCAGTGATTGCCCTTATTGTCGAGCAAATATAACATGTTAGATTGAGGTTTGCTGCTCATATTACTACCTGAAGCTTGTTGTAATTTTGATCTTTAACTAAAAAGCATGTGACATGTGCACGTGTAATGTATGTAACACTTGTATAATGAGGATTTACTAAACTATGAACCATTTTCTTCCAATATAAGTTATTGAAACACAGTAATAATTTTCATACAGCTACACCAATCTCCTCATGGTATAACTCAAAATTTTGGTTCTCTGGACTCTGTACACATCCAAATTCCTCTTCAAACCCTAACACATTGTCCACATGCCCAACATCTCTCATCTGCTCAATCAGACCCTCCAAGGCCGTATAAATCTCCGGTGCAAGAGGGCTTGACCGGTCCCCAACTGAGAACGGCCGGAACCCTTTTCCGATATCAACCCATGCCACACCCGGAGCTTTCCTCACTCCTCGATCCCTCATCACCATTCTTACCTCTGCCAGCTCCTTCCACAACCCTGCGGCGGCGTACATATTAGCTATCAGCACATAATGCCCTGCATTCTCTGTCTTCATCTCCAAAAGCTTATTCGCCACCCTCTCTCCCACCTCTGTATTCCTGTGCACCGAACATGCGTTTAGTAATGCGGCCCAGATTGCTGCGCTGGGCCGAGTTGGCATTTTACGCAGTATATCCTCGGCCTCCTCCAATAACCCTGCTCGTGCGTATAGATCAACTAAACAAGAGTAATGCTCCATTCTAGGGTTTATTCCGTAAGTTGTTGACATTTTGTCGAACAGATCTTGGCCTTCTTTTACAAGCCCAGAATGACTACAGGCTGTAAGTACGGCCACCATGGCTATCACATCAGGTTGAATGTTAGAGGAAATCATGTCATTGAATAGCTGCACCGCCTTCATTCCCTCCCCTTGAACTCCATACCCAGAGATGAGTGAGGTATAAGATACTTGGTCTCGATCAGTCATTGTGTCGAAAACTGCTTGTGCCACTGATATTTTCCCTGCCTTTGAGTACATATCGACGAGAGAGTTCCATATCAATAAGTAGTCCTCGAATCCTCGCTTAGTTATGAAGGAGTGCAGTTCACGCCCATGCTGAAGATTTGCGACGCGAGCGCAGAGAGAGGAGAGTGTGACAATGGTAACGTAGTTTGGCTCGTTTCCTGACCAGACTAAGTCACGAAAGACTATTGAGGCCTCCTCGGCCTTGTCATGGATGGCGAAACCCGCAAGCATTGCATTCCACGTGATCAGACTGCGAACCCTAGTCCTCTGAAACAGAAGGTGGGCGAGCTCAGCATTATCATTGCATCTCGAGTACATCACAATTAAGGTATTTGTTACGGTCTCTGATCCATCGCAATGGCTCCGAATCACCACACCATGAATCTCCTTCCCCAATTTCACTGACCTAATCTGTGAGCACGCATTCAGACCGACGACCATAGTCGCAAGATCCAACGCTAGCCCATTCCAACTCATCTGCGATATCAATCGCAACGCTTCTCTCGGTTGCCCCATCTTCAGTCTGATATTAGCAACCGTGTTCCAAGTAATACAATTTGCCTCCGCCCCCTCCGCTCGCATCCTATCAAACAACTCCAGCGCTTCCTTCCTCAGTCCCCTCGAAGCATACCCTGAAATCATCGCATTCCATGAAACTGAATCTCTAACATGCATTCCATCAAACACTTCCCTTGCAACCTCCAACTCTCCACATTTGGCGTACATGTCAACCAAAGCATTGAAAACAAACACATTCCAATCCAACCCAGATTCGATGTACAATTCATGAACCCTTCTCCCAAGACCCAAGTCCTTGGTTTGCGCGCAAGCCTTAAGGACGGTCGGGTAGGTGAAGGGATCGGGGTCGATGCCCTTTCGGAGCATTTCATCGAAAATGTCAAGGGAGTTCTTGGGGAAGGAGGATTTGAGGCAGAGGGAGATGAGGGTGTTCCACGACAGTACATCGAAGGAGTCGATGACGGCGAGGTGGGCATGGGAGAGGAGGGAGGAGGAGGAGTAGGAAGTAAGGAGGAGGGGGAGGAGGGAGGGGTGGAGGTGGAGGCCGAGGGAGAGGAGGAGGGAGTGGGGTTTCGGGGAGGCGGAGGAGGGGGAGAGGAGGAAGAGGAGGGAGGAGAGAGGGATGAGGAGAGGGGGAGGAAGGGAAGAGGTGCGGAGGAGGGAGAAGGGAGGTGAAGGCTTGAGGGAGGTGGCCAGCTGAAGGAGAGGTTTCTGATGGACTGGATTTAGAAGAGTAAAGAGGGAGGAGAAGGAGGGCGGTTGGGCCTTTGATTTGGAGGAATTGGTGGATTTGGTTGGGTTCAAAGGGGGGCAGCAGGGGGCTATTCGTATTGGGTTATAGAAAACCCCTTGGTTTTGTAAAAGTTTTGTTCATTGGACGCGCCTCAGTTGTGTGTAATTGTTACGAAAAATAATTAAGGGTATATAACTGTTAAGTGAGTGAAACTATGAACTTTTTAAGTGCTATTTATCCCCAATTATTTAATTAGTTCAGTGCTATTTAGACCCATTAACAAGAAAATGTGAAATGAAGGCAGAACTTTTTGAAGGATGAGATTTAATAATTAGA